ATGGAGATTCTGGCGATTAAGATCAAACCATCAACTAAGCGGTATAACCACTAAACAAAGAGAGTTGAAACTAAAACTATATGCAGATGACCTGATTTTGACTCTAATCGACCCTGTCACATCCATAAACGCTTTCATAAAGAAAGTCAAGAGGTATCGTGAAATCTCTAATTAAAAATTAAATTAAAATAAAACTACAATTCTAGATATCAATCTAAACACTGTTAGTAGGAATTATATAATGGACAACTATATCTTTAACTGGGCAAACACCAGCACCCCATATTTGGGTATCTTGTTAACTAGGGAAGCTTCAGAACTAAAGCAGATTAATTTTTTACGTTGTTTTAGAGATATGTCAATAGCATTAAATAAATGGAAAAAAGTAGAAATTACGTGGTGGGGCAGAATGAATCTTGTTAAGTCATACCTCTTTCCTAAGTGGGCATACTTGTTCAGAATGATCCCTTTAAAAAGCCCTAGACCATGGCTAGATATGATTAAAAAATCGGTTAACAACTTTACTTGGATGAAAAAGAGACCTAGAATTAATAAAACACTCTTGGCACAAAAAATTAAGGACGGAGGGTTGGGTTTCCTGACCGTTATAGATACTTATCTAGCGAACAAGTTTTTTTCATATCTATAGAACCCAACTGGATAGTGTAATAAAGGAAGAGTGGTATATTCTGTAAAGCGAGATTTGTCAAGTAAAAGAACTGAGTTCTATACTTTGGTATAGCCCAACAGATTTAAAAAACTGGTCTCTAAGACAATCCAATATATGCATTGATTCAATACTAGAAACCTGGAAAGTAATAAAAAGGAAATGCAATATAGAGGCTAAAATTCCTAAAAATCTCAAAGCCGAATTACTTCCATATTATGTTAAAGATTTAAATATAAGAAGTTGGATCCAAAAAGGTAATATCCAAATAGATAAACTGTTTGATAATGATAGTATTAAATCTTTCAAACAATTGACACAGGAATTTCAGTTGTCCAATAAGGAATTATTTACGTACTTGAGAGTAAAAAACTATTTAAACCAAAATATTATAATTCACCCTCCTCCTGGAACAAAGTTGAAATGCTCACTTTTAAACTACAAAAAAGTAGAAAAAGTATCATCTATCACAATGAATGCTATTTTGAAAATGGATGCACCTCAGGTTATTGCTGCATGTCAAAAGTGGGAGAAAGATTTAAATACAACAATAAATAAGGGAAAATGGTGTGCAATACTTCCTAGAGCATGCAAAATTATACACTGTTTGAATTTACTCAAAACTCTGCTTAAAGTCATCAACAGATGGTATTTCGTTCCCGCAAGATTAACTAGTATGTATAGCTCAACCTCACTGATATGCTGGAGATGTAAAAAGAATTTGGGCTCCTTTTTGCACATCTGGTGGGAATGCGAGACCGTGAAACTGTGGCAGGAAATATTTGTTATTCTTGAAAATTTATTATGTATGTCTATTCCAAAGTCCCCTGAGAACGATTAATTACACTTAAATATTGAATCTCTACAGCAGAAGGAGATGGTTATATTTATCCATTTTATGATTGTGGTAAAGACTATAACTATAGCATAACATATCTAAATAATACATTAAATAAATTACATTAAAAAAAAAAAATTAAAAAAAATAAAAAAAAAAAATATATATATATATATATGCAATTTTATTCTATAAGTATTTTGATATAAATATATATATATTTATCAAAATACACTTGGAATGAAATTATATATATTATATATATCTATATATATATAAAAATAAATAAAACATACAAAAAATAAAGGAAACACAAAAATAACACATCCTAGATCTGAATGAATTAAATATTCTTCTGAAATACTTTGTTCTTTACATAGTTGAATGTGCTGACAACACAATCACACAAAAATAAAAAAATGGATTTGGAGTCACACTCAAAATTAAAGTGGAAAAACACAGTACAGGCTGATCCAACTTTGATGTTATGTCCTTAAAACAAGTCAAAATGAGGCTCAGTAGTGTGTGTGGCCTCCACGTGCCTGTATGACCTCCCTACAATGCCTGTGTAGATCAATTAGAAAAATTATTGAGCAGAGAGATCAAGATAAAATGGGAAGAATTTACTCTACAAAAATACCTAAAGGATAAGATAACACCTAGAGGTTTGAGGTTTACTAAATTCCCTACCTTTGATCTAGAAAACGAAAGGTTCATGAATATTTGGACATCTGCCCTTGAATCATTTTCAATAACTATGATTAACATGATCATAACACAGAGAAATTAAGACCTTATAGAACTTGATACGAATATTAATAAACTACGTACACAATTAGAACCCATTTTGGACACCAGAGACTTTGAAATGCTGTCCAAAAGAGTAAAAACCAATTTAGATAAATTGGAAAAATCTATAATTTTGAATAAGAAAAAGAAATTCAAAAGGGATACAGATGACTATGCAAATAATAGAGTGAGAAAAATACCTAAAAATAATAGGAGGGACCAAAGTCAATCTAGAGCTCCATACAAACCAAATAACCAGAGATATGAAAGAAGGAACTATAAACCCCTAAATTATGAAAGTAATCACTATAGATCATACAATCAGTCCTATCAATCAAAGGGCAAAACTCCAGTTCAGGCTGAAAGCAGAACATACTCCAGTGTAGTACAAAGAGGACCTATAAGCCCTCAGGCAACTAGATCAACTAGACCTAAAATATTTCAAAGAACCCCACCCAAACCTGACCCAAAACCTAGTAGGGAGTTACAACACAACAGAAATTATAGACTCGAGGAAAGACCTTTCCAGGTTCCAAATAGAAATAGGTTTGAAAATCTAAGAGATGAAAATGAGGAAGGGTCTTTTTTAGATCAGAGATGGAGGAAAGAAGAATATTTCAAAACCCCCAAAAGGCAAAGAAAATTAGAAGAGGAAACAGAGAAGGGGGAGATAAGACAAGAAAGGAAAAAGATAATAATGAGATAAAAGTTTTCAATTTATCTAAAGTAACATTATCCCCGACTCAGACAAGAGTTTTAACTAAGAGGTTTAAATATGTACCTAGCTGTCCAATAAATAAATTCGAAACTTTTATTGATATTAATAGGTTCACCAGGAAATTGTGCCTTTAAAAAAAATTTTTAATGGAAGGAAAGAGGAAGCAAATATAGATATGACCAAAGATGAAAGTATGATAAAACATACAGATTTTAAGAAAAAATCTAATTTTTATCCAATTTTTAAAAACTCAAAGCACGAGAGTGTTTGAAAAAGCATGCCTGGATGATTTGTACAAAATGAAACCTTTAACTAAATACGAGCAGAATCTAACGTTTAAGGAGAGGCAGGTCATTAAAGAATTAAAAAATAACAGCTTAATTGTAATAAAACCTGCTGACAAGGGTGGAGGTGTAGTTGTTATGGATAAAGACATATATTTGAGTGAAATCACAAGGCAGCTTGATGATGTAGATACGTACAGAAAATTAAGCAAAAATCCTACTATAGAGATAATAGCAAAATTCGATGATCTTCTAAAAGGAGTGGACAATAATGTTTTAAATAAAAATGAACATTCCTTCCTTAAAATAGAGCACCCTAAAATACCAGTAATTGATGTCTTACCTAAAATACATAAAAATCTAGATAACCCAACTGGAAGACCAATTGTCTAAGACATAGATTCAGTCTTAACGCAGCTATCTCAGTATATAGATTATTTCCTCTAACCACTTGTAAAATCTTGTCCAGCTTATCTAAAAGATTCTATGAACCGTCTAAATATTTTAAATGAATTTAAGTGGGAAGAAGGTTATCTCCTAGTCACATGTGACGTGACGAGCTTGTATACCATCATTGAACATCAAAAGGGACTTGAAGCTGTGGAATTTTATCTCAAACAATCTAAAGAATTTTCGAAAGTTCAAATTGAATTTTTAACTAAAGGTATTTTTATGATTTTAACCAATAACTATTTTTGGTTTCAAAATGATTTTTATCTTCAAATTCGGGGTACAGCTATGGGGACCAAGCTTGCCCCAAGTTACGCTAATTTATTCATGTCATTTTGGGAAAGGACTTTTATATACCAGGGACATGAGTATGGGGCAAACTTGGTCCTCTATAAAAGATACATAGATTATGTTTTTATAGTATGGAAAGGGACAGAGAATGATTTTAATGCATTTTTTAGTTATCTTAACTCAAATGATTGGGGGATTAAATTATCTAAAAACATTAGTTTTACCTCAATAGACTTCTTAGACCATAATATTTTTATTTCAAATAAGCAGGTCAAAACTAGAACTTTTTTAAACAAGTAGATATTAACAGTTTTATTGATATTAAAAGTTGCCACCACGACCCCTGACTACGAAATATACCAAAGGGTCATTTTTTACGTCTGAAAAGTAATTTCCCAGACCAAAAAGATTTTAATGGGGGGCGGAGCCTGGCTGTGGAGCTGATCAGACGTGTGCAGCATGAGCTCCCATCTGAATTCTTACTTTAAGCAAAATAAACCCGGCTCTCAAGCTACAAAATCACCCAGAATTGCACCACCTGAGTAGGGGATACAAGGGAGACCACAACGAGACTACTCTCACAATGCTGAGCCACCGGGAATGCGGGCTGCACCAATAGGGCCTACTGCAACGACAACCTGCCTGATTTGCGGCCTAGGCGGGGGTTTCGGGCACGGGTGAAGCGGCCGATCACCCGGCCTGGAGCTCCCCAAAAGCAGAGGCCAAAGCTGCGGAGGACCACCCACGAGCCTCCCTCCCCCCCCCCTGCCGGTGAGGGATATCCCGGCACCAACAGCCTATTTACCGCAGACACTCATGTCCCAGAGGCGGCTAGTACCAGAAGTCACCAACTCCAAAATGGCGGTTGCCACGCGTCAGTCGGCAAGCATGGGGGCAGGTGGGGAGCCAGCGAATAACTCTCTGACAAAGCTTGATGACATTTTTGCTGCCTTTTGGGCCAGGATGTCGGAGAGGATGCTGAACAAAACACCAGCTAAGCGGACCACTCCTGCACTCACACCCCCGACCCTCTCATGCTCCAAGGGCGGATTCAGAATGATAACCGCTAACAGCGCCCCAAAAAGGCGCCGACAACGGGACCGGCAGCACAGACAGAAACGAAAAGCCTGTCCTATATCCAGCACCCACACTCACCTCAAGCCACCACGACGCCGCACCGGACCAGAGGCACCCTGCCCATCAGGACAGCGCCCACTACCTGACAAAGCAAACCTCCGCCACTACAGGCCGGATGCCTGGCACTTAGCCACATAATATGCCTTTGACACTCCAGGCGACAAGGGCTCTCGGGAACTGCGCTTGGCGCCCAGAAGGGATCGGATGATCACAGGCTGGAGACTGGAGCCTGCCAGGCATATCTTGTTATAGCTGGACTTTCACACCATGTCCCTTAACACAAGAACTGCTCTCTGCATACTAGCTAAACGTAAAGTAAACGTCTTTATTCTATCAGTAATCCATCCCTTGCAGAGTTTTTGCCGTTGTCTCTCATATGTGTTTACCTTAACTGCTCACACATTATTTTACTTACTAGTCCTACCTGGCAACCCAAGCTTGTTTAAAACTAGAAGTGAAACTGTTGGTTTATTTTTACATTTAAAAACGTGCAGCCAGTGCCTTAAGCAAAATGCTCCCATTATTACCAATGCACCGGTACACACTCACAATCTT